CTTGAGCCCGGGCAGTTATGGGGAGCCTTGGACCCTCCACCGGCCTGGGGGCGGGGGTCAAGAGCAGCCCCCAGCCCATGTCTCTGGGCCCCCCACCCAGGGCAGGTGGAGGGTCCACAGCTTCCCAGAGCTGCCCGCGCAGCTCTTACCATGGCCCGGCTCTGACTCTTTGTCCCCCAAGGCCCAGCCACCAGCCGGAGCTGGGTCAGGGTAAGAGCCACACGGGGAGCTGAGGGCTGCTCTCGGGCTTGTCCACGCTGGCTCCAGCTTAGCCAAGGGGTGTTGCCTCAGGGGGAAGAGGAGGGGTGGGTCACAAAGGGGGTCAGGTCTTATGCCCCCCACCCCCCATCTAGGCAGAATCCATCACCCCTGGTCCAACTGATCACCATAATTGGGGTCAGGAAGGAATTTCCTCTCAGGTCAGATAGGTGAACACCCCCCCTCCAGGGGATTTGCTATCCTGTGCAGCAGGGGACAGGGGCAGGGGCTGTTCTGAACTAGTGTAAATGGTGAATTCTCTGTAACTTCAAGTCTTTAAACCATGATTTGAGGACTTCTGTAACTCAGCCAGAGGTTATGGGTCTATTTCAGGAGTGGGTGGGTGAGGTTCTGTGGCCTGCAATATGCAGGAAATCAGACTAGATGATCATGATGGTCTCTTCTGACCTTACACTCTATGAGTCTAAAAGAGGGAGTTTCATTTGGTGTTTTGGACACTTTTGGGCTAATGCAGATGGGAAGAGGGGCAGAGGAGCAGCAAGGGTGGAATAGGGACCTGAAAGGAGGTGATGGGAAGGAGGAAATAAGGAGGAAAAGATGAAATGGACAAGAGCAGAGAAGGAGTCTGGAATAAAAGAGCTCAGCTGGAATGGGGAGAAAGAAACTCAGGAGCATGCAGGACATGGGGCAGCCAGAGGAGGGGCTGGTGCCCCTGAAGTTCTGTTCTCCATGGAGTTGTAGGTCAAGAGAAGGCTGACAGACACTTTGAACAACTGGGAATCCAACCCTAGCTCAGGATGGCTTTAAGAATTCCCCAACTTTTACTGCACCTGCAGGTAGGATGAGTGGGGAAGAAGAGAAAAAATGGGATTCTGAGTAACTCTGAAGGAGGAGAGGAAAATAGGGAAAAGAGAAAGCAGTTAAAAGAAGAAATGAGGAGGGGTTAAATGAGGGGCGACTCGGAAGGGCAAGCAATGCAAAGGCCGAGGGAGCTGTTTTCATCCTTGCTCCCACCCTGCTGCCAGGGGTACTGCCGGGCATCCCCCACAACACACACCAAGCCACAGAGACTGGGTATTTTTCCCCAGTCCAGCACGCTCCCTAGCATTGGGGTGGGGCACCCAGGAGAGTTTCCCTTTCGTTCTGTGGCTCGATTAAGCAATGCCTCAACACACCTTTTCCTCCCTGCTCCTCAACCTGCTTCCACCACAGTGGGGTAGGGGTGGGGCTAGTTGTGCTAAGCTTCCTTCTTTTCTTGGTGCAAACATCATCATGATGACAGTAGCTGCTGGCTTTCAGACAGAGAGGCGGCCCTAGTGAACACCTCTAGTGGAGGGCTGAGGCTTTCGTGTGCATGATTTAAAGAGAAAAGCCCCATTACACACAATGAGGAGAATTATTTTAATAGTTTTGCCAGACTGGGGTCAAGTGCCTTGCATATGATTTCATATTATCGCTGTGAGCCAGTCTGATTGTGTTGGGTAGGGAAGAGATGGGGGAAATACTAGAGACACAGGAAGATGGGATCCAGAGGAAAGAAGAGAAAGATACAAGGTCACAGAACTGATATAAGGGAGGAGGTCAAAACAATTAAGGGTGAGGTGGGGTGAAAGAATGGAAGATGAAAAGTGGGGAATGGAAAGGAAAGCCACACCATTTTAAGCTTATGAATCTTTTTTTTACCGTATTTGCTAATGCCACTTGCATGCTTATGGTTGGCCATTTATCTGTCTTGACTTTGTCTCTAAAATGGCTTTGTAAAAAGTAATTTCATTCTTTCTAAAGTGCAGTTACATTTGCTATAAGATATAGCTAAATCTGTTTTTATAAGAGCAATATAAGCCTTTTTTGCAGGAGTCCACAACTGAATTCTCTGCAGCCTCATACTTCCTTCTATCACTGTAGTGGAAAATGGAATTCACCAGGTTTTGTACTGTTGGCTTTATGTGCTGTGCTGCAATAAAATTACTTTCTACCTAGGACTGGATGGGGTTCTTAAGTTTAGGGTGGTGCTTCGGAGGGGGATGGCACGCCCATGGCTGGAATGCTACTTGGTGAACTGTATTACTGTAAAAAGGGCCAGATACTTCCCTCTGCAGTGGAGAGGGAAGTAAGACTGTGGAAATTAGTAGGTCAGGCTGTGCAGCAGGTCAAAGGAGGTTACAAGGCAATATCTCCCCACGACATTGCTACTTCTACAGATAGGTCCATGGCTCAGAAGCAGTGATGGTCTCTGTTACAAGACTGACTATCCCCTTCAAGACCCAGCACTGCCGCACTCTTCCTCAGTTTTCCCACAATGATCTTCAGCCTGCTCCAGCCATAGAGGTAACTTGGCCCTCTGGCCAAGCCACTTCAAAGCATTCCTCCTCTTCCCAGGTAACAGACTCCCTTAGTCCAGTCCAATATAACATCAACACAACAGTGTCTTCAGTCCACTCGGCTCCACCTTCAACCCCCTTCCTAACAGGCAGGTTCCCAGCAGCGACAGCCCTCTCACCATCTAACCACCAGCTGCTGGGCTCTGGTCAACACATGTACCCAGGTCAGTACAACCAGGTCAGTACAACCAACACATGTACCCTGCCCTCCTACCAACGGCCTCTGGCAGGCTCCAGTCCTCAGCCAATTTCTAGCTCAAGGCCAGTTTCTTGCCCCACATCAGAACAGCCAGTTCATTCTCCTCCCATCCAGCCCTTAGCTGCTGGGCTTTCATTCTCAGTCACCGAGTTCTGATCCAACCCATGAGGTGCTGGCTCCTCTTGGGCTCTGTCTTCACACACCACCCCAGCTTTGGCATTCTAGCCTCCAGACCAGCTTTTTGTCCCACAGTAGAGCAACCTCCCCACTCTCCTCCCAAGCCAGCCCTCAACTGCCGAGTTTTCAGCCCCACACCTTGCACAGATGTGGCCCGGTGGGGATAATTGAACCTGTTGTTCCTTGAAGAGGCAGGCTACCTTGCTATACAATCTCACTTTTAAATGACCTCCTTCCTAGCCATTGAGTGTGACTGTTAAGCTCAAAGACTTGCAGGAGTGAGTGACAAAGTACTCAAAAGTTTCTGCTCCTTCCTTATATGCCATTGCCTGAGGGTAGAGATAGGGAACATGTGCCTATTCTTTGCCCATCACACTAGGCCTCAGAGTTCATCATCGGAAAGGGCATTTCTCCAGGGTCTTCCAAGGATTTGTTGATCACTGGAGAAGAAATATATACACTTGGTGCTTTAAAAGATCTAGTTTCCCCAATCTGAGGAAAATTCTGAATGAAATTGCTTGGGAGTAAAAATTTGGACAGAAGTGAATGAAAATTAGGAGCTATTTAAGAAGAGTTTATTAGATGGCCAAAAAGCCACAATTCTACAATCACAATAAAGGACAACTTTGGTTAAAAGGCCGAGCCTCTTGTGAGGGGAAGTGAAGGCAGAAGTTAGAAATTAAAGAACAAGTCACGGAGGTCCCTGAACCCAGGGAATCTGTGACTTCTGTGACAAACTCGCAGCCTTAATTATAGGCCAGTTAGTCTAACATCATTCCCTGGCAAATTAATGGAAAAGCTTATGTGAGATTCAATCAATAAAGAATTAAACGATGGGAATATAATGAATGTAAATTGTTGTGATTTAATGGAAAATGGGCCTTGTTAAACAAACTAGATTTCATTTTTTGATGATTCCAAGTTTGGTAGATAAAGGCAACTGTGTAGATGTAATATACTTACATTTTGTATGGTGTTTGACTGCATGACATTCTGATTAAAAATGAGCACTATACATTAACAATAGAGCACACATTAAATGGATTAAGACTTATCTTACTGCTAGCTCTAGTGTGAGTGATAAATCATGGGAACAAACTGCCAAGGGAAGTGGTGGATTCTCCATCAGTCAAAGTCTTCAGCTCGGGACTGGGCCTTTCTGGAAGACATGCTTTAGTCATAAAATCCCATTGCCTGTATTATACAGAAGGTCAGACTAGATGATCCGATGGTCCCTTGTGGCTTTAAAATCGATGCATCTGTGAATTGTGACTGCAGTTATATGCATTGTTGAAGTAAAACAGCTAAGCCGAGTGGAAGTGTTCTCTCTACAAAATGGAAAGCAATTTAAATTACACATATTAGAATGTAAAGTTACATACAGTACATACCAATTGTCCCTATTTTATTTATTTATATAGTATCATTTCTGACCTTCCATTAACCTTTATCTTTCTAATTAATTGAATTAATAGATTTCAAATATTGGGCAGGTATGACAAATTTCTACAGTACTTTTTAAAGCATCTAATGAAAACGAATAGCTCCTTTGATACATTCCATATAGAATTTCTCTCTCAAATCACATAGATTAGCACTAATTTGCCTTTGCCAATCAATCTGCATTTGTCCCATTCTGTAGTACATAGCTGTTGTACTGATCAGAGTTTTCTCATTCAAGTCCCGAAGTGCCGTGTTTACAAGCTGACTATTTGTGATACTATATTTTACACGCTTTGCCAAATATTTATAATATATTCATGACAACACGAATGGGTCACTTCAAGATGCATCAGTTAGATAAGGAAATACAGTACATACTATTACAGTCGTCAGGAATTTCCCCATATTATTATGTTACCTGACACTATCAGATTGATCACAGTTATGCAACCTGAATTTACACATCAGATCTGTATGTACTTGCCATAAAATGTACAGATACTTTTGTGTAAATAAGCAATTGTATAAATAGTGCTGCTGTGCCACCATATTTATAACCAAAAATTGTGGAAAAAGGGACAATGAGGGTGTTCAAGAGCTTGGTTCTTTTATTTCTGCTACTTGTAGTGAGAGGTTCTATGGTTCAGCTGAAAAATGGTGGCTATGAAGATATTGTTATTGCAATTAACCCTGAGTTACCAGAAGATCACAATATCATAAGAAACATACAGGTAAGAACTTTGGTATATGTAATGTCCTTCAGTGACTTTCAGACTTCTTGGTTATTTCTACCTCTAGATTAGCAGTGATCTTAAAAGACCAGTTTCAGCCCCCATTAATGTCAATGCAAGATTTTTTCTTTTGATTTTCATGGGAGCTAGATCAAATCCATTATTACCAAATTTGTTCTTAGCTTGAATTTTTCTTTCAAGTGCTGGTGTTAATGAAATGAGTGTACTAATCTCTTGAAGTTTAACAGGACTACTATGGTTCAGGGTCAGGCTGATTCTGTGTATCGCCTTCTTTCCAAAACTTGAGTATTTTAGACTAGAGAATCATGGATATTTAATTACCATTTACTGCACCTCCATTACAATGTTTGCCATTTGCTTTTATCCCTCCTTTCTCCCGTCCTTGCAGGCATTCACTGTCTTCTTAAAAACCCTTGGTATATATAGTGATATTTCTGTTTTTAGTTATTCTTTCATTTCTCAATGTCACCATGTAGATCTTTGCTCCATGTTCACATGATTTGGTCATTGAGCATTCAGTTGTTGTAAAGAGAACAATAAACTGAGGCGGGCATAGCCATTAATTAGTGACTCCCAAACTACTCAAGAGAGGTGGGGAAGGAGCAAGGAGGAGTGGAACAGAAAAATAGTGACAAAGTAGTGCCCACTGTAGAGGCAGGAAAAAGGTACAATCCTACAGAAGTGGAGCAAAGAAAGGAGGATTCCCAGGGAGAAGAAAAAGGAAACCACAGGTTATTACTTACAATTTATCATTTTATTTTATCCATCATGCACCACAGTACACTTTAGCGATCAATGAAAAAGACTGATGCAGGCCAGAACTATCCTTCACCACAGGCTCATGTAAATTTTTTGAGGAAATGCCATGTCTGGAAGGTTCTCTGTCAGGTTTTATTTTCAGGGATAGATTGTGGTTTTTATCATAAGCCCTGAGCAACGGGCGGTGTATATTTCTACTGCCCTAGGAACAATCCAGAGTCTCTCAGCGTTACAATTTGGTCTCTCCTTGCTCCATGAGGGAAATAATCTGTCCCAGCCCTTCCCTTGGCCAAGGTTGGTTTCTTTCTATGCCTTCACATATTTAATGTTACTTTATGTACCCTTGTTTCCCGGCAAGGCTAAACTACTCATTGCCTCTACCGTTCAATTCTTAATTCATAAGGCATTTCTTTTCTTTCCCTACCAGGCCATGGTCAAAGAGGCTTCTACTTACTTGTTCAATGCTACAAAACAGAGATTTTTTTTCAAGGCTGTAAAAATTATAATTCCTCTGC